ACACACACACACACACACACACACACACACACAGAGAGAGAGAGACACACACAGACACCCGCACGCGAATCCCACCCTACCCCCCCCCGAAATGGGTGGGACAGAAGCGGAAGGTGGTTCTTAAAGAGACAGAGGCCAATTTCAAGGCGTTTAGAAGAGGAAGTGATGAGAAGATAAGTTTATTTTCTATTTAAACTTAAAAACAGCATTTTAATAACAGCTAAAGGTGACAGATACTTTATTATGGTATAGTATTTAAATATATGCCTGAGAAACACATATTGGCCCTTTAAAAACTGTCTCGTCTGAAACATCATCTTAAAATACTCATAATGAACGTATTTTAAAAAATGATGTCTCCTCTTGTGAAGTCTTCTTGCAGTTTTCCAGTGAGGGCCTTTTAGATTAGATCTGAGAAAATTCATTTATCATTTTTTTGGGTTGTTTTTATATTTATTTCTAGAAACTGCAGAAATCCCCAAGCTGTTACCACAGAATACATACACTGAGCTGAAAATGATTAGACACGGATCTTTAGCGCAGCAACATAATCTGAGTCATATTCACTGATTAAATGTGTTCATCACCAAACCTTCACAACGAGGAGAAAACAGCAGCAAAGCACAACATTTGTTTTCATTTCTGCATCATGTATGAGTTCATAAAGTGAAATAATCCAGAGCTATACATGTACAGCAGACAAACAGGACGGCTGCTCTCATCGGAAATAACTTCTGTGGAGCAGCATGATTAGCAAATTATGCGAAACAATTTTTAAATACCGCACGACATAAAACAAGTAAGTTTTCACCTCGTGTTTTTCCTGGAACTCTGACATGTCCAAACGGATGAAACCCTGCAAACACACAACAGTTCACATCTACACAACGCAGAAAACCATCTTGTACACGTAAGAATGTAAGATTCTGTGTCACGCACCTTTTTAATGTCTTTGTGCATGTACCTAGCCACTTGTTTGGCCAACTCCGTCTTTCCTGAAACACAGACCAGAAAAACAATCAGATAAAAACAGACATCTTTTAGTTCTGCATCACGCAACAAGATCAACTCCTAAAACCACCTAATTACTTTGTATCTAAAAACAAACCCTCGAGTCTTTATGGGTTACATCAGCATGCAGAAAAATTCAAGACTTGGGGAAAACAAAAAGACAAAAAAAAAAAAAGACAATCTCCCTGCTCTGCTAAGTGCTGGCCTAAATCCCAACGCCTCCTTCCCCGAAGCCTTCAATCACTTCCAGCTCTCCAGAAGCACACATCATACTCGTCAGTAAAATATTCTGCATATAAATGCTCTTATATGATATTGATGTCTTGTGCTGGGTATAAATATGAGGGTTGTGTGTGTGTGCTCCTGTGTCTTGTTGCCGTGTTTAATATTGATGTCTGATGGCCACTGTTTGTCGCTGAAGGGAACGGAGGATATGAACACTGCCTCTCCCTCATCTATCTCTCTGCCCTGTCATCTCACCATCTCTCTCTTTTTTTAGCCATCCATCTGGCCATTAATATCCCTCCTTTCCCCCCACCCTCTGCTGCTTGCCGTTGCCTTCCCACCAACACACACGTGTCCGCAGATGGTTACGTTTTCTCTTAACTGTCCCAGTCGAGTTATAAACAAAGAGGCTTGGATTCTCTGTAGGCACGCATGACGACCACCGCCTCGCATGTTAAACTTTTATTAAACAAAGACCTCGAATCGGATTACTTTAATTTGGGTATTTGCAGATACTGAGTACTTACTAAGTTAGAGGTTAAACACACTATGACTTTAAAAACATATTTATTGTATTTAGAACAAGGTGACTCTCCTTCCTTATAGGCCTACAGCCCCTCTGACTGGATCCAATCAAATATACAGCATGGTATTATTGTATAAATTTAAAAAGAAAAATACAAGATTTTCTTTCAACTTGTATACATTTCTTAAACATGGAGCTGACAGACGTTTCACTTGAAATACAAACTGTAACTCATTGAAATGACCACTGATACCATTATCCCAGTATCCATGAAGGTATCGGTCTCGAGTATCGGGACATTTTCTACAAGTATTTGGGTCAACGCTCATTTGTTTAGTCTGCACTGCAGCTCAGGCAGAACCCCTGAGTTCTGTAAGACCTGCAGTCTGTTATTTTCTTTATTTCTTTTCCAATGAATGCCACAAAAGACATTTGTCTTGCTTAATTCTTAAGTCCACCATTATTTCCACCACTGGTGATTTGTACGAGTATGTGACTTTTCTATCAAACCAAATCTGAGCTCACTAACTAATAACTAATATTAACTGGGTTGTAGCTATTTTTTGTTTGCTAACATCAGTTAGCTGTGGTGGCCATCTTGAATCAGACTCAGTGAAGTCATGCAAAGTTGCATTTCACAGTTTGTGGATTGTTTCGTGATTTTTTTTCATGGAACGTAACTACTAGTAGTTTGTAGTAATCCCTGTGATATCGTACAAACTGGGAATACAGTAAGAAACGTCCGATTTTCTTTCGCTCATACTTTTTAAAGCTAAAATTATTAAGAATACAAGATACAATACTTAACATAAATTCAATTCTATAAAAAAAAAAACCCAATTAGTTAAGTACGTGATGCATGCCTTGCCCACGCTCCACCTTCTAACAGTACTGTGCATTACGATGGCTCTTAAAGTGTTATTTAATATTTGCATTTTTTTCACCAATTCGCGTCAACTCTAAAAACGTAACTCTGCAAAAATCCGGGCTTTGCTGTACATCCAATGATTATTTCCTGAAAGTTTCATTAAAATTTGGTGAGCCCAAAAAGTGGTTTTTGAAATGTTTTGCTAACAAACAGGCAGCTTTGGTACTTTTATTTAAAAACACCCTCAGCATCACATTTCATTCAGTGGTTTTCTCCATGTCAGTGTGGATCTGCTGCAGTAGAAAGGCCCCTGTGTGGATATCCTTAATTAAAACTGCAGACTGCTGCTGTTTTTTCCCCCCTTCTTTCACTTAAAAACCAAAATGTGTCAGTAAGCATTTCCAGCGTTTAAACGTGCGATCAGCTGCGTTTCTGACAGCTGGTGCTCACACGCACAAAGCTCAGCGGGTGGCAGGAAACAAAAGGTACAAATAGACAAAAGCTTTATGGTGTCAATATTAATCAATAACAAAAAATGTCCCGAGCGCTGAAATGCAGTTTTTGTAAAAAGGCTAAATGAAACCCCAACAAGGATCTATCAGAGCGGAGGATGGATCTGGTGACCACAACACTAGTTTGAGTCTTTAATTTGTTCATATTAGTGGGTTAAACTACATTTGGAGCAACCAGGATCTCCTCCTTCATAAAATAAAACTGTTGTTTTTCTTGTGAAGATAGAATAAACTTAATATTTATGTATTTTATTTTTCAACTCGAAGCTCAAATGTGTCATTTTGAGTTCAGACATGTAGACTAACTTGTTAAATAGTTTGCTTCCTTTCATTATAATAAACAAAAAAGAAAAAAAGTCAAATAAAAACCAAGCAGGCATTTATTGATTTTACATTAGTCTAATTTGTGTTTATATTTTACACTTTGTTATTGCAGCCACATGTATTCAGCTTCCTTGTAATCTGAATTGATTAATTTGTCAAGAGGCTACAGTACCCCCAACTCCCAACACACACACACACACACACACACACACA